AATTTTCTTGCATGCGTTAATTAATATTTAAATTTGTTTCAGATGACATTTTTTGAAAGAGCGTTATGGAAGTTAAAAAAGAAAAAAAGGAAAAAAAAAAAAAACATTCTCTAAAGGAGAACTTCTAGAATTCATATAATCTCCTTCCCTCACCCACACAAGAGTCTAGAAATGCTTATTAAATTCAGATGACTCACCCATGTAACAAGCTTGGTTCCTTCCTCAAAAAATTCTTCATCTGGTTGGTTTCCTTCCGGTTAGAAGTTCGAGCAGGACAACTCCAAAGCTGTAAACATCCCCTTTCATGGTCGCCTTCCCTGTATCAAAGTACTCTGCAGAAGAACATATCTGAATATATTAATTATTAAATCACAACAAAGGAGGGAAACAATTTTACAGTTATCTGGTGCTTTGGCATACCAGGAGCTAAGTATCCAAAAGTTCCCGCTACTAATGTGGAGACATGAGTCTTATCAGGTTCCATCAATGTTGCCAATCCGAAATCAGAAACTCGAGCTTCCATGTTTTGATCCAGCAATATATTACTTGACTTGATATCTCGGTGAATTATGTGAGGGATGCAATCATGATGAAGGTATGATATTCCTCTTGCTGCACCTAGTGCTATCTTATATCTGGATGGCCAATCCAAAAGCCTAGTCTCTATCGACCTTCCTGCATCATCATCCACCTCAGTATTGAATAGCTTTGAAATCTAGCATACTTCAGATGAAAAAGTCTAGCCTATAAAGAAATTACAGAACTGTCTATGAATATTGGAAAAGGCATACAATCAGAGAAGATCAGAATTTCAGTGCTGATAAAACTATAGGCAGAAAATGATTGCTTGTGTTACTTGAAGCTATATTAAGTGCATACCATGCAGAAATATGTCCAAACTTCCATTAGGCATTAGCTCATATATGAGAAGATTATAGTGAAGGGTAGTGAAATATCCATGAAGAGTGAGAATATTCCTATGCTTTATATCCCCCATGGCCTCCAGCTCTCTCTCGAAACCTCGGTCTCGTTCTGCAGTACCCCTGTTTAGTCTTTTCACAGCAAATGCAGTAGACTCGTTTAGCACCAACTTGTATACCGTCCCATACCCTCCAGATCCAATGATGTCCTTGTTGCTCAATTTCAGCGTCTTCTTCAGGAGCACATCCGATTTTAGGGATTGCATCATTGCAGACTTGAACATCACCATCTTCCCACCTGTAACAATATTGTTAACCTGACTGTATCTTAATTTCCAAGCTATTAAAATAAAGGCTAAGAGCTGTTCATGTAGGGAGGAATCTGTGCACCTGAGAGGCCATTGTCTTCATAAATCAAGTGCTTTCTTTTCCATCGCTTGTAGAGAAGGACGGAGATAACTATCTTTGATATAAGAAAAGCAATGCAGCTTACTGTGACGTAGAAGGCTATATACTGAGCTTTGACCATTTGAGTGTCTACCAAGGCAGCTCGGGTAAATGTCAACTGTGCTTGAAACGTGAATCTTCAAACGAACTAGAACTACAGTGAATGAGCACCAAAAATCAATTTACTCGCAAGGCAGACAACGGATAAGTATAATAGTAAAAGATTCATCATCAGTGGAGTATCTACAGCAAGAATCCATGTCTTAAGAATGAACGTAAACTATAGCTAGCTTGAACATGATCTAGATGCTCTGTTATTTAATTTCCAATGCAAATCTTCCTCTCAGAACTCTCTCTTTTGCATCACAGATAGCAAGAGCCCACCAAAAACTACAAAAGCACGAAGCCTAAAGAACAGGCAAAAGCAAGTAAAATGGAAAATCAGATGCATACACTATAGCGATTAGGAAGAGTAAATTAAGAGAAGAAGCAAGGAAAATGCAGTAACTAACCTTATAAGTTGAAATGATTTTGTTTGTCATGGCATTTCCATTAGGATTCAGAAAGAAACAAAGAGAGATAAGAAACAAACATGAGAAATGGGACGGGGAAGCGAAGGAAGGTTGGCGTTTAATAGAAGTTTTGAGGCACACCAAAAGTATTAATTAATGCAAGGGTCTAACTTTACCAAACTTCTTGTTTCCTATTTTTGGGTGTCCGCTTTTATTGACATTCGTCGTTTCCTTTCACTCGCAACTCTCTGACTCGTGACTTTAGTTCGCCACGTGATATGTATCTATGTACTTTATGACACGTGTTTAACTTTGGTTCGGTTCGTGTTGAGAGAGAAAGATATTGAAATGATTATCCTGTATCGCTTCAAATTATTCGTGTTTTCTTTTTTTATTTTAATTTGTACATCAAAAATTAAAAAAATATATATTAATTTTTTTTTAAATATACCTTTTATATAGAACAAATTCATTTGAACAACTTTTTTTTTTCCCCTTCAAGTAGCTGGCAAGTTATTGTCTTAAATTTTCATATACGACAAAGGGAAAAGAAATGATGTCGGTAAAGGCTAGAGTTTGTTCCTCACCTTGTTGTTGTTGTTGTTGTTTCACATGTAGAGTAAGATGAAAAACATGGATCTCGGGGAGATTGCTGAAAATTAGCCAAAATCCTATTTCATGACATATAGCTGGTTAGGTTTTTTCTTTTCTAAAAAAAAAAAAAAAAAAAAAAAAAAAAAACTTCATGGATATTCCAACAAGCTAGGAAAGAAAAAGATAATTAAAAAAATCTCTTAGTAAGATAAGGATGATGATGATGATTATGTACTCCTTTAAAAATCAAATAAATAATTGAGTACATTATAATTTAATCCCCGTATTTTCTATGATTTTGTAAGTTAGTCCATTGATCGAAATTAACTGTTAAATTTTATTTTCTAAAATATCGCTTTTTAATATATATATTTTTCTACATTAGGTGAAATTGAAAATTATGACTAGAAATGAAAAACATTTTAAAAATTAAAGAAAACAATTAAATTGTAATGGGAAACCAACATAAGGACTAAGTTACCAAAAAAAAAAAAAAAAAAGTGCAAATGTAAGGACTTGGTATTGGATTTTTTAAACTAAAGAGATGAATTAACTACTTATTTCACTAAAAACATAGGATCAAATAATAATTTATCTATCAACCATCTTAAATCATGCAGTGTGTTTTTTTATGGTTGGCAAAATTGTCTTGGGATGGATGATAGCGTGTAGTGTACGCAGAAGAAAGATTTGAAGTTGAGGAGTTCTCAGAAATCACAATCCTTGATCACATTATTAGCATGTAAATACTATTTGAAATTAAGAAAATCTTTTAATAAGAATGACGATGTACTAATGGAAGGTTCAGCCAGCAGCAGGCTGAAGATGCACAATTAATGCACCTTTATTTCCTCTTCTGGAAAAAGGGAGAATAAAGAAAGATATTCCTGTTTCTGTAGAAATGGTAAGGCAATATATTATTGTTGCAAACGTTTTAACTGGCAACCAGAAAACGAACAATAAAATGTGAAGAAAAGAGGAGAATGATTCAAAGGTAATTTGCTGTCACCATAAGATCTCTCCCACCTGTCTTAAAGTCTAATGGATTGATAAGCATTCAAGTGGGAGGGACGAGGGAGGAAGGAGTTGGGAATTTACAAAGTCAACATGACATCTTCTTGAATTGAGTTGTTTGTCATCTAAGTACCTAAGCATTAATTACTGAATCATGTGAAATTGAACTTTAATATCTTCTCAAGTAGCTGCAAGCCTTTGCTCATGTGGTGTACGGGGCTCTTCTTATTCTCATTGGTTCTGATTTTACTTTTTTTAGTGAATTTCTTCTTCTTCGGCATCTGTTCTTTTATCTTGTTGTTAGTTGAAAAGTTATGTCTATTTAAATTTGACTTACATAGTTTTAAAAATGAAATTAAAAGATTATTATAATCATCGTAATGGGTCCTAAAAAACTGCTACTGTTTCTGTCAGCAGGCTCGAGAGAAAAACCTTCAAATTTTAGTCTTCAACTGGAAAACGAAGGGTTCTGAGATCCTGTTTCTATCAATGCACGAAGTAGATTTTTTTAATTTTTTACGAGGAGCCCAAATTGGTGTTTGATAGAACAAAATTTCGACAGCAACGCTAAGAAAGTAACTCTCTAGTTCAGTTTGTACAAGAAAACCACCATAAGTATTTTGAGCCAGACTAATTCAACAGTCCATTTTAAGATGAATACAGTAATGTCCTCCATACTTTACTTTCCAGATGAGCAATACAATGTTGAGGCATTGAAATATATCTCTCATCTAACATGCCAAAAGGTTTCATTTCTATTAATGATCTGATTGTGCAATGATCCAACCTTGACATTTTTCCAGGTGAATATTACTTTATTGTTGAGTCACTAGAATATCAATGGATTCATGTGAATCAGAAGGAGTGTCCTTTTCTCATCTCATCAAATAGTTTATGAAGTGAAAAAATGCATTACAAGCACATATCTAAACCACATTTTTGCCTGCATGGGCGTGAGAAAGACGAGCCTCTCTTCGATATTTTTGATAGTTGAAGGATGGGAGACTTCCAATGTTGACATTCCAGCTCAAAGTTTTTCTTAATTTTCTCTTACTAGACCAGTTTCCTGTTGGTTCATACTTGAAATGTAATGAATTGAAAGGGCTTGGTTTGAAAAAAGCCAAAAGTTGACTGAATAATACCATGCCTAGGGCTGACATTACAGACATTTCCCCCTCTGCTCAAGTTCATGCGACGGAAAGATTACTCACATGCATATAAGAGAGGAGCACATCTAGAACAGAATTCCCTGATGCCCAAGAATTTAATAGAAGGGAAATGCAGCAGCTGCTGCCAAGGAGGGGAACAAGAATATACAGAGATGATGATTCCATATCATCAAAAAGCAAAAGCAGAAGGATATTCCTCTAAGCCTCGATCAAGTTAATTGACGTTGTCTTACTATCCTGCATTTTCAAGCGATGAATTATGAATTACTAATTAGCGAAAGGCAATCTGAAGCCCCTCAATTGAGAGAACAAGCATTACTTTATATCTCAAACATAGAAAAAGTTTAAATCAAGAACAAAATATCTTGCCTTCCTAATCGAGAGAGCTCAGGCTCTGACAACAGCATGTCTTCTAGTGATTTCCCATTCATCTCCCTTTCCTCACAACTGCAAAGACACAGCAAGGGCAACCACTTGCTTCAGTCAGTAACCAAAAAAAAAAAAAAAAAACCCACAAAACCTAGACATATAAATGTACTCGTAAATATCTGGATATTCAATAATCAACGGGATAAATATATTCAATAATTTCACACCCAGATGAAAGGGGATAAAGGAAGAAAGAATGGAAGTACACACCTGTAGATATAATCAAGGGAAAGCAGCCTGTGGTGAACAGTGTAATCACTGCCAATGTACGTAACAATTAAGCTACCTGCATCAGGATGGGGCCAGCTCCTTGAAGTAGGAAACCGCAGTACAAATGTTCCGGGCTCTTGAAGGCCCCTAGGACCCTGAAGTGACAGTTCTGCTTCTTCCTTTGTGATAAATCCTTCTATCCACTTTGGCGATGTAGAATTCCATATTGTGTTCATTGGATCACTCGCTAATGTAAAAGCAATAGGGAACAACCAACGCCATATCTTCTCAAAATTTTCTTGGGCCATATGTTCCCGGCATCCAGCAATTCTCCTCAGAAACTCAAAATCCTGAAACAATTATTAATTCCAAGTAGTTATTAGGGTCATATGTCTCCAAGTTGTGCAAAACTCATGTTTGAGCACTATTATAGCATGCTCAGCATTAAAAAACTTCTTCTGAAGTTTATTGATTCAACAATTAGTGAAGCAATGGTAAGATACATACTCCCATTACTCTCTCCAAGCCCTGTAGGGCAGGAACTTGCCTGAATATACTTGACCTTGACCACAAGGTCGTATGAAAAGGGCTCAATAAGTTTAAGAGTGCATGTTAGGGTAAATCTGAAAGATATCACAGCATTTATGGGTACATACATAATGCAAAACCAAGTTATTCTAAGAACTCCTAATGACTTATTTTCATAAGCACAGTTTTCTCTGTCTGTCTTCTTTACATTTTTATTACTTTTAAATATGTTGAATATATGTATTGTACTAATGGGGACAACCCAATGACATTCAAATTGCATATCTTAGATTCAAAATCTAAAGGGGGTATAAGAGATGGAGGAAGTTAACACCCATTGTGCGGCCAAGACACAATGAACCCACTAATGAATCTGAAAATAACGTACCTCATGCATGAGGCCATATCATTGCACCGTAACAATGATCTAATACTAATAAATATTATTTCCAAGCCACCAGTACATCAACCTCAATTTGTAAGCAGCAACATTGTGTGTGTTCACAAAGAGTACATCAAGAAGAGAAGAAAAGGCAACCTGTTCTGTGAGAGATCTAGTACTGGAGCAAGTTATCCTCATGAATTGTTCTTCAATCTCAAAAATCACGTTCTCCCATTGAATGAGGCGGTTGTTTTGTGAGATTGAATTCCAAACTTTGGTTCCTTCCTCTATCAACCTCTTTGCTATCACTATCTGTCGCCTGAACAAGAAAGATGGTATCATGAGTATTAAAACTAGACAATAGGTATCTCAAGAGATTGATCTACTTTTGTGGAGTGGCAACAGTTTGCAATGACCACTTGGTTAGTCAAATTGTGTGCCGCAGAGCTTCCAAAATGTCTAACCTTATTCTAACATTTAAAATTGAAAACGCACACAAAAGAAAAGAACATGAAAATGGATTGCTTCCCCAAATTAATTTCACATAGGTGACCTCGGTCAACTTCATATAGTTGTAGGCAACATATGCAATACTCATTCTTGCTTCAATCTAGGGGAAAAGGCTAAAATGAATTTTTGTTGTAATTTGCAAATGATAGAAGGAGTGACAAAAACATTGCACACACCCATCCAAGAAAAAGTAATCCAGTGAGTTTGACATGAAAATGTGAAGTGAATAGTTTGTAACCAAAATCACTGTCATCAAAACATTACCAAAATCGTCATGCTAGATAGGTTTCAACAAACCTATCAAGAGATAATCACAAAATCAGTCCCTGTACAGTCAGATTTCTATTCATAGACTTCAGTTTTTTCTATCTGAGTTCCCATAGATTTAGACATCGATCAACCAAGGACATTTATGCTGAAAATACCCTTGATATGGAAATGGTTTAAATACTCTGTGAGCAAGGTATTTTTGGAGCAAATGTACTTGATTAATCATTTTTCATGAGTACAAGAACTTAACTAATAAAAACTGCAGCGTAGAACTCAGAAATTCTGATACAGTACAGGGACCAAGATTATGATTACTTTAACCTACTAATAATTAAATGGACAGAGAATCCTCAAACAAAGTTGCATCCAGAATGAACCAAACCCATGCATCACCTGTGGTGTGAACATCCTGAATACAGAGAAACCTCATTTGCAAGTCTAAAAAGCTCTTCTTCAGAGGCAGAGGTTGCAACCTCCTTCAGCAGAAGAGCCCTGTCAGTCAAGCCTCCCAAGCAGTATTTAAAAATGGTCACATCAGAAATCGAATAGCTGCTACTTGACATCATATTGAAATCTGATAACCTTTCTTCGATACTGTCTGATACAGATGGTGAATTGACTGGTACATTGTCTGCTCCACTGTCTACTTGCGTCCCTAGTGCATTCTTAACCTAAATTAAAATGGTGATGCAATTATAACCATGCCAAGATAATGCAATAATGAAATTAGATAGAATAAACTCCAACCTCCAACCTAAGGTTTCCAAACAAATGAGTTTCCAACATCACAGGCTTTATTTTATTTATTTATTTTTTATTTAAAAAAAACTGTACAATATCTCAAGGAAAGGACAGGGCATGGAAAATGTATTCCTAGTAGGAAAAAAATTATCCACCAACTATGCTGCACATTTGGTATGAGATTTCTGTATCCAGAACCACATACAGCAAACAGAGGCCCCAACTTCATGGCATTGAATTGAGAATTGGAGAATAAAAATAAATATAAACCATAGACTATATGCTTATTTCATTTACAGTTATCACATATTTTTCAAAAAATCCCATGTCCTTCTCTTACCTAAAGACATAATTTTAATCACCAAATTTGGTCACATCAACAGTGGGCCCAAACTAAAAGACAGGCACCAAACAATCTGCTGTAAATCATGTGGGACAAAAAGGAAAAAAAAAAAATAGCTCAAGCAAAAATTATAGTAGAAAAGTTTTAATGATATGGGAACCATATATTTGAACAATCAGATAAATGATACAATGTTGATCTCTGCCAATATCCTAGATTTTGGATGGATATTTATGCTTACAGTAGTTGTTCAAGTATTCATACTAATGCTACTACAATCACAAGGATGGTGGCAATGATGATAGTAATGAGAAATTAAAGCAAACTCATTTTATACCTGATTAGTTGTCCAAGCATCAGCGTAGCACTCCACATCTGGCTGCTCCATTGCAGATGTTCTTTCTTGCCCCAGTTTGATCCGTTTTGATGATGGACTAGGTCTTATTTCGTGGATGGAGTTGTGCTGCAATTCCAAGGATCCATGACATGGACCAAATGATTGAGATTTATTTAAAGGTTCAGCAGCAGAGGTTGGCCTTTTCCATGTCAGAGATGTGCGGGGATTACGACTTCGAGAGATGCAGCGGATTGGATGGGAAAATGCCTCCAGGAAATGATACCCACTGAATTTTGGAATTTCTAATTTAATGCGAAAAAGCCTATTATCACACTTGGATGAAAGCTGTCATGGGAATGAAAGCAGAATCACTAGCAAATTCCATAAATATGGGTAGCAAGAAGCCAAATTGCAAAGTAAACAAATTTAATCTCCAAAGAATTAGCAAAATCAGAATCCCATTCCAGAGTTTAATCTTTTTCTACTACTTTGGTGTTTAAACTTTTAATAGCCTTGCATACTAGAGCATGGGCATGAACCACAAGGTGACCCAAGACAAACATTGTTTGCGTTTAAAATATATTTGTAACGAAAACTTTAATAAAGATGTGGCAACAAGGTAAGATCAGCCTAAATAAGATATATCCACATTTTAATTGAAAAAAAAAATGTTATCTCAGAGACACCAAGACTCGTTTAAGTTGAGTACACCCAACATAGAAGCATCTACATTATTATTCAAGAACAATAAAGATGATTATTCAGCCGCTAAAAGACTACTTTAATACGGTGTTCATCAAATTGAGATTATGCAACGAAAACTTTCTCAAATATGCAGCATTTTAATTATCTACAGATTGATGTCTATGATATAACATGACCAAATGGCCAATCACAAAAATGAATAATTGCATGCTTATTTATAATGCAAATTCACGGAATGATCCAGGTCAAGAAACAGAAGCCAACTGCATTAGACTGCAAGCTGCAAGCTAGCTGCAGATAAGGTTGGTCTCATATTGCAACCTCCAGTAGAGGTATACGGTAAGCAAAATTATTTCAGGTAACTACAGCCATAGGATAATGTTCTTTAAACTTACAAATAGTATTGTACGGAAAAAAATGCATATGGAATGCTAAAGACATCTTCTTCTGGCCAAAAGAGAGGGAAAAAATAGTAGTGGGAATTGCATAAGAATGTTCATCTTGTCAATGCATAGAGGTAGGGCACTTGTACACTCAGAGAATTGGATAAGTAACCAGAATTTTTTTTTTTTTTTTTTTACATATAACATAACTACCTGAGATATTTTGAGCTTCAAGGATGCACGCCCATGCAATAGTTTTCCTGGTCTATCACAAGAAGCAAATTCAATCCCATCACAGTTTGCCAAAAGGGGATCTTCATCATCAGATGTCTTCTCCACAGGAAGTCCATTGTCCGCATATACAAGTGAAGCAACAACCTATTAAAGCAAGTAATGTACAAATGTTAGTACAAGAAGAAATGCGAAAAATACAAGTAAAATATGGAAAATTGCACTATTGGAAAACCAGAGATGCAGACCTCCAATTCCTTGTTTACAGCCTGGCTTATTGCATTTAACAAAACCACATCCAAGGAAAAAATCCTACGACATGAAGCCTGCACAACAGCAAATATGAGAAGAAAATCTTAGAATGCTGCTATTTGGTTCATAACATCAGCAATGTTAACCTAAACTGTATGAAAATTACAAGTCTGTTTGTCCCCACTCCACAACCTCTAGAGGATTTCATTCAACCCAATTTAAGAGTTTGAGAGGGAGAGAGAGAGAGAGATTCTTGGTGTTGTGCAGTGCTTTCAATTATTTGGTGAACTCTGTTTGTTGAGAAAATCTCGAGATAATTAGAAATCAATTCTTATCTAATTAGTTAATTTGGTTAGAGTGGCTTTGTTGGCTTCCTTTGGTGCTCTAAATCTGGAGCTTTCCAAGCGCTTTCTTACTAATATTTAGTGAGACTGGAAGCAATTTTCTACTCGTAATGAAAAGCTACATCAGTAGAATGCCTCATGGCAAAACATAAGAAATAGAACTGAGAAAAGAGAAGCAGAAAATGTCCACAAAATTTACATGGTGCACCACGGAGCAGAGATTCCACTATAATAATAGGAGGGGAATGCAAAACACAATGAAGATTCTAGATTATCCACAATACAACCTGAAACTCATTTGTATACAACCAAAAGCAATAAAGCCTAGTTGCAAAAGGAGAGAGAAAATAATTGAATTCAAAAGAAACCATAGAAACTGTTCCCTAAGGGTATATGCCACTACACCTTTGCCCTCACCACAGATCTAATTGAAAATTGTTATTTGAGATTTTCACATAATTTGCTGGGCTAGATCACTATTTGTTTGAACCAACAAATTTCAAGAAAAAAACTCATAGTATTAGCACCTACTTTTAATGTGGAGGAAACTTTTTCCTCCTTTATTCCATTTCCTTAATAATTTTTTTTTCCCATTACAACAGAAAAAGGTATGATAAGAGTCATGTCATTAATGATGAACATTATTATAATTTACTTAAATTACTTTCCAGAAGACTACTTTTCATCTCGAGGTGTTTACTAGGTACAGATATAAGTTAAGTTGGACAAAAAAAGGTCACACTTCTTGCTTTACGGTCTTTATCTCAGAAATTTTTTGCCCAATCCTACCTTAGGCCTATTTCACTAACCAGTCTTCAGAATTTTACACCATCTTTTTCTTCCTCTAACAGGAAAAAATAATTACACTCATTGGCCTTAAACTAAAACCAAGCAAATGTAAGTGGGAGGCGAGGGAAGGGAAGAAAAATTTTACAAATTCGTTGTTTATAGATGTGCTCTGTTTAAAAGATTTTTCCCTTCAAAATTTCACTTATCTTGGTTGGATATCTTGCTATGCCGCATAGATAAAATCTTACCATAAATATCCCCACCTATTTCTCTTCTTTTTCCCTTCTTTAAAACCAAACAAGAGAAAAACAATAATTTTTTTTTAAAAAAAAAATTTAACTTTCTCCACCCCCCATACAACTTAGCAAACAAAAGGTAAAGCGATGCCCTCTTATCCTATGAAAGATTGAGTTGCAAATACAAGCATCAAAACCTAGCCTTTATGCATAAGCTGCCTGGGAATCATTTTCTCACACAAAAAGAAGGTTGATATGTACAGAATCTTACCAACTCAAGATGACAACTATTATTCTTCAATTTGCAAATAGAGTGAAAATGGTTAGACAAATTACTCTCATAGCTTTCTTCATGCAACTATTAGAAGCTGCTAGCAGAAATAAAAGAGAAGAAACAACAACATTAAAAAAGGCCTATAATGAGTGACAATCAAGTGACTCGCACCACAGTGGCCTACCAGCTGGTTTTGGGATTAAACATGACTCCTTAGGAAAGCATAAAACCAAAATTCTCTATAATTACTAACCTTGCCTCCAACAATATTCCAAATGCCATCACTGTCTTCGTCAATATCAGAGGTGGAAGAGAGATCAATTGATAATCGTAGAGGTGGGTCCTACCATAGCATATGCATATTTGTCAATTATTTAGTGAAGTTACATGTAGATTAAAAAATAAAATAAAAAACAGAATTCATAAAAATATCTTTTATGAACCTTGTCATAGTGATCCTTAATGGACAAACTTAAAGGCAAGACTTCTGCATGGTGAACATAACCCTGCATGCCATCATCTCCACTAGCACCAACTAATGTTATCTTCCTCAGTTCTTTGGGGTTCAAGTTTTTGTCAAGGGAGGATGACGGAGGCTGCTCTCCTACAATCTCCCCATTAATGTGAAGCCGCAACATATCAGTAAGAACCTATAATAAGCAAAATAACATTTAGCATTTCATAACTCCAGGGAGAGCTGGTGAGAGATGGAGGAAGGGAGAGTGCAAAGTGTTATACACAAAAATAAAAAGATAATAATAATAACAAGTAACAAAATTAAAAAATAAAAAATGGAAAAGTAACCCCCATACTATAAATTTCATAAATGACTAATTGTGTGGCTTGACTTCTAAAACATACCTCACATCCAACATGGATCCAATTTTCCAGAGGAAACTCAATCTCCATTGATGTAGAATTACTAAAATTTGTAGTTTCTCTTTGTGCATGGAGCAACGGAAAAAGTGTTATTATCTTCTTCTCATCTAGAACAAGAAAAGGAGAACTGCTGCTAATGTCCGAGTAAACCTGCAAACAGAATTATTTAGTTTAGCAATTCATTTTGAAGGAAAAAAAAAAAAAAATCAAACAAGCAATACACACCTGTACACCACATTTTAAAATATAAATCACTGGTTAACAAAGATCTATGGAGTATGCAGACTATGGCATTAAAGATGATTATAAATATCTAAGAAATCAGAAAAAATTATTCAGCTCCATGGTTTTGCTGACTGACTCTACTACAGCTGATAAAGTTCTCTTACTTGTTAACATCTAGCAATTAGACTTCCATGACCGAGGACTATCGGGCTGTAAAAAAGAGGTGGAATAAACTGGTGAATTTGGAAAAAAAAAAGTTAATTACATACATAAGAGATGACCTTAGAAAACTATTCAAAAAAAAAAAAAAAATGATATCAGCTGTAGCAATGCACCTTTTTTCCCTTCATCTGAGTGAGTAGCTATATGCCTGATTTTGGACATCATAAAAGATATGAAGCAGATAACTTGTCAAAACTTAATGACGAACGGCACTACTCCTGCTCATGAGCATATGGAAAACACTAAGCTTTCCTACATTTAAACCATACAAATAACGAGCTCGCAACAAGCTTGTAACATACTCGACCAATACAACAATACAAGCCCATCAAAGCAAATAAAATTCACGATATGGATGGAACTCCAGTTGACAACAATTCCACTCAGAAACTGCAGCAACATACCAAATATTTACATAAATTTTGCCTATGATTACATTAAAGCCTTGGAAAAAAGAATAAGAAAAAGAAGAAGCTTTGTCGCCACTTAAATACACACAACCCATCAAAAGAAGAAAAATTTAAACATGGGTTACACTAAAAGTGAGAGGAATAGATACTAAAAGTTGCAATAGAGTTGAAAATTCAGCTGAATACATAAATGCAGAAAAAATAACGAAAACGAACAAAGTAAAGGGGGGAAAGGGCACTGTTTTCCATACCTGTTTGATGATTGTAGCAGGAAATGTTGCGGTGGAAGAGTTAATAAGATAAACCCAAAAAGAGATAGAAAATTTCTTTTCATTTTCTACTTCAATTTCCATTCTGAAATCTTTCAGCAAAATGTAATCTTTTCTGTACATCACATTATTATTATTATTATCACTGCCCATGATGATTGTTTCTTGATCAAAGCAAACCTTAAAAACCCAAAACCCACTCTCTCTTTCTCTCTCGCTCTTTCTCTCTCTCTCCCTAAAAACTAAAAAAGAAACTGAAATTTTTCTTACTTTCTCTTAATTTACACTCAATTAGTTTGTTTCTCTCACCAAAAAAAAAAAAAAGCAGAGAGACAGACGCGGTTGCTCTGTGACGGCTGTTCTGTTTTAATTAACGGTTGGTTCGGTGGTGGGTTCGTTTTTTTCTCTTTTCTTTTCTTTTTAATGAAAATGAATGTAAGTGGGGTAGTCATCTTATGCTTCGCGTTAAACCCAGCAGCGGCACCTTTGGGGGCTATACGACGAAATGAAGAAGTCAAATGTTGACTTTTATATCACTTGGAGGCAAATGATTGGTCCCGTAAATGGCAAGAAATCTGGAAGTAGAGAAAGAAGATTGATTAAAAAATGGGAAATGAAAGAGAAACCCCCCCCCCCCCTATTTGACATAAATTATAGTCCTCAATTCTTTGAATTATAGAGTCTAGCATTACTTAAAATTGAAATTTTAATTTTTTTATAAAAAAAAAGAAATTTAAAATATTAAAAATTAATTAACAATACTTACTTTATGTCTATATGAAAGGAAACTTACAACTCCATCCATAAAATAATAATTAAAATATTTTCATTTGCACTCAATTTGGTCATGCACTTCAAAAGGCACATACTTTTTTTTTTTTTTTTCATAACCCAATTACCGGTTATTACCATAAAGGAGATTGAAAAGAAAAACGGAATCTGGGTTGAAAAGATTTATAATATATCTACAAGAGAAGCGGTTATAAATTCATTAGTAAATGAAAGAAGTTACCCTAGAAAGATGGAGCTGCCCACTTAAAAGGCTGCCAATCATTACACAGAGCATAGAAAGTTGGAGTTAATGCAATGTTGAGGCCAAACAAGAACATTGTCCTGGATCGAGTTCGAAAAAAAGAACATTAACTGTCCTAGATTCATTCAAGCCTAGGAGAAAGGCAACTATAAAATTAAATCAGTACGAATAACAGAGTGCCACAGCAGAGCAATTGCAAGTTGCAAAGCAACGCAATTAGAGAAAAAGATCTTCAAAACGGCTTATGGTTTGGACATCATATATATTTTATACAGGTAAAGATAAAGAATTGATCAGTTGGACCGCAGAGATGATTTCTCAAATAGCATTAACACGTCCGAATCAAGATGTTGATCCAAAGGAGGGTAAATACATTAAACAATGATGATCCTATTCTGACTGCTCTGATTGATGCCAATTCCTTAAAATCTTTGATGCAGGAAACAATCAATGAATTTAGACTCGTTAAGTCCAAAGAGGAAAAAGGAACGAGAGGTACTAGCTTTAATTTTTACAGTTGCAGATTAGGGAGAACAAACACTAATTAGACCCATGCCCATGAATGAATGTTACTACTACTGGCTAAACCCTAGTCTACCCAAGTATCACTGGTCCAGCTCGATTACAGCAACAATGACAGTAATGTCATCAACTTTGCCTCCAACGTGCTCGATTCCTTCAGACTCGGCAGCAATTGCAAAGGGAGAATCATATTCCTCGCTGGTTGAATTCATGGACGCAACAGTTGCAATGGCCCATGCAAGATCCTGAGGCCAAGATCTTCCTTCAGTTTCTTGAAGAATCTCCTCAATCTCAGAGCCGAAAATATTATCAAGCAATCCATCAGAACCAGCAACCACAACATCCCCCTGCTCTACATCAAATTCACCAAGGAAAACTGAAACCGGGCGCTTACCCTCATGAACCCAATTCCCCAAGGAAAAAGGACAGTTGAAATATTTCTGCTGTGTTGGTGACCTGTAAACAAGCCTTTTCCCTCTAAAAACCATGAAACCGCTATCACCCACATTGGCATAACACAAACGGTCTCTTTTAAGGCTAACAACACAGGCGGTGGATGATCCTAAAGCAACACTCTTGGAATGCGCTTTTAGCAATATTTTCTTGAGATTAACAGCTTGGCCAGGCTTCAAGGATCGGAGAGAAGTAAGATAATTGGACATGAGTTCTCTTGAAAAAATCCCAGAATCAATACCTTTCTTAGCCCATCCACCAACACCATCAGCCACTCCAAAGGTTTGCCTTTCTTGGCAAATAAAATGCGCGTCTTCTCCTAGACTTTCTGGGTTCGACCCCATATCTTTAGGAAAGCAACAGACTCCCAGATTCATCTTCAACTTCTCTCTGCTTTCATCATCGGAAACCGAAACCGTGGCTTGAAAATTTGACTGGCTTCGTTCAGATATTCTTCTCTTTTTGATAATCATCTTGTTTATTGCCCTCCTACTCCAACTGAGAAATAATTTTGATGGAGTTGGATCTCTAGGTATAAGATGAATTTATTAAAAGTACAAAGAAAGGAAAGTATATCCTTACTAAATTCGGAAGCAAGAAACAGAGGGATTAGGGTTTGTTTGCAAAGAAATGCGACATACGCGTTTTTCAGTCAAGAGAGTAGTCCGTGTGTAATATATAGTGTCAGTGCTAGGCGAGGATAGGAACTTTCCTTGCCTAAGTCGGACAAATTGACTTTGTCGTTCAAATTTTCGAAGGATTCTACCAAAGAGAACTTTCTATGAAGCCAGCCAGGTGAATTTTTTCCCCAGCGAAGTCAAGTTTCCCGAGTAAATTATAAATTAGTACATCTCCTTTCCTAATTAGCCTCTTTTATTTTAAAAATTATTTATTTAATCTTTAAATTTATTTATAATTTAGTTTTTTTTTGTTCTTTTTTAATTTATTTTAACTCTTTGTTTTAAGAAATATAAAAACATATAGAAAAATTGATAAAAAAAATTTTTAAAACAATAAAAATAACATTAAATTAAACATGATCAAAACCGATCAAAAGATTAAATAATAGATTTTAAAATAAAAGGATTAATTAGTTCATCGTTTGAAACTAAAAGAACTAATTTATAATTTACTCCAAGTTTCCTACCCAACAACCAAACGGCTTGTGCGCATATGTTACACATGCTTTATTACGTATATTTAAGAAGTTTATTTTTAAATTGCACGTGAATGGACTCCAAGAATCCCACTTATTTAAAATTAATAAAAGTAAAATAGTTTAGTTTAGAAAAAAATGGAGAATTATCAATAAATAAATAAATAAATACTAAAAAATTCTAAAACAATCTTATATCTAATAAAATAATTAATTTATTTTTAAATCTCTGCAATCTAAAACAATATTCTTTTTTTTTTTTTTATCAAAACATCCACTAATGAACCATCAACTTAACACTAATTAATTATTGAGTATTTTGGTAAGAAAAATATTATTTGGGTTTGAAAAATTTAAAAATAAATTGATAGATCTTTTAAATAAAATATTCTTTTAATAATAATAATAATAATAATAATAATCTAATTTCATATTTTCCGATGAGTTATTAATCTTTTTTTTTTTTTTTTTTTGTTTATTGGGTGATCAAGTTAGGTTCTTTCTAATTGTAATCAAAAGGAAAAGTATCCTCAATTTTTTTTATTGTTAATTGTCTCCTTTAAATATTATTTTTTACCTATTACACTCGAAAATTTTCTTTTGTAGAATTTTTTATTTTACTTTTTACTCGATCCTTTGTTATATTAACTAAAGAATTAGTTGTACTACTCGACAATTATAGAAACTGATGCAATTCAATTAATTAATATTGATGAAATAGAGCTCTTGTTATCTTTTTATAATTTTCAAAGGGTATCGCACCAAAAAAAAAAAAAAAAAGAATATTAGTAATCTTCCAAATACTGATATATTGATAGGAAAAAAAAACTATCATAAGTGATACTAGTCTTTAATTAAAGGAAAATTAACACTTTTTATCAAGCAATTAAATTAAATTATGGGATGAATGTATAATATATCTTTAAAAAAAATGGTTTTTATTTAAGTCGAAATAATTACCAAAAAAACCCTCTAAAAAAAAATCTTCCTTCTAAAACTCACATATTTATTTTTATTTCTTTTAAACCTAAAATAATATTTGTCTTGCCAAAAGACCTAATTGTTACAACTATTGTTAAGTAAGAGGTTAAATATTAAGTGTTTTGGTAAGAAAAATATTGTTTTGCATTGACAAATTTAAAAATAAATTAGTAGGGTTTTTTGGTAGAAGATTTTGTAAAAAGGTTTTTCTAATAATTATTCCTAGAAAAAACAAGAAAGAAAGAAATTTTTCATCTCCAAAACCATAATGAACCTCATTACTCTTTTTTTAAAAAATCATCCTATCATTTTCCTTGCATTAAGTTAGTGAATTTTTTTTTCTTTTCAAAAAGACATATTCATAATATTTTTCAAAATAGTAGATTTGGAGGTTTTAAATTCAAATCTTAAAAAATAAAAAAAATGAGATGAGATTTAGGATGTGTTCTAAAGACCATTTTTAGATTTTTTTTTTCATAATTATCTAATAATAATCTAATTTAATATTTTTTTTATGAGTTATTGATTATTATTATTATTTAATCTTGATCAAGTTCGAGTTCTTTCTAATTGTAACCAAAAGAAGAAGTTTCCTCGATTTCGTGATTACCGATTGTCTACTTTAAATATTATTTTCTTATTACATTGAAAAATTTCCTTATGTAAATTTTTTTGATTTTACTTTTCTCGATCGTTTGTTATAGCAACTAAGGAATTAGTTGCACTACCTAGCAATTATAGCAACCGATACAATTAAACTAATTAATATTCACTGAAAAATTTCCTTATGTAAAGTTTTTTTATTTTACTTTTCTCGATCGTTTGTTATATCAACTAAGGAATTAGTTGCACTACTTAGCAATTATAGCAACCGATACAATTAAACTAATTAATATTGATAAAATAAAGCTTTTGTTATTTTTTTATAATTTTTATGGGGTATCATACAAATTAAAAAAAAAAAAGAATATGTATAATTATGAACATTAGTAATCTCCCAAGTACTAATATATATATATATATATATATATATATAAAAACATCAAAAGCAGTACTAGTCTTTAATTAATTGAAAATTAACACTTTTTATCAAGCAATTAAATCAAATTATACAATGAATGTTTTTTCGCACTAAGTTAGTGATTTGTTTTTTCAAAAAGACATATTCTTATTATTTTTCAAAACGGTAGATTTGGAGGTTTTAAATTCAAATCTTAAAAAAAAAAAAAAAAAAAAAGAGATGAGATTTAGGATGTGTTTGTCACGAGGAATTGGAATTCTTGATTAAATCAAAATAAATAACTATAAACAAGGTATTATAGTATTTATCATCTTACTTTTATTTTAATAACTACTTATGTTTGTTAATTTTATTCATATTATCAAATTAACTTTATTCTCAACTTTAGTTATTGAGAAATTCAAGCATAAAGAAAAATTATATCTTTATAAGATTTACTTGTACTATAGTCATGTGAGCAAGATAATTCCTAGCATGTCACACTTAATACTATGAAAAAAATTTCATGATTTAAGAGAAAAAAATTCATCGGATGTTAGAAACTAATATTTGCATTTTAATATTCATATTTTCTACCATAAATACTTTATCATTATAATATTTCTAAATTATTTTTAAAAAATAAATTATCTATTCAAAGAAAAATGTATTTATAATATTTTACATGAATAGATCAGATGCATGATTTGAACAAAAATTATATCCAAAAGCCTACTAACTTTTAGTGTGACAATAGTAACATTAGCTTATACTAGATTTGTACTCGCATTATGTGGCCGGACGGTTAAACATGTTCTTAGGGAATGGATGGGAAATAATTTTTTTTGATTTTTTTTTTCATGTTACCTAATGTGTAGGGAGATGTGTTTTATTGAAGGAAAGAAGGAATTGAATGCTTATGGGTTATTTATTTTTGTCATTTTTCCCCATGGTATAGGGAGGGTTTTGATTTGCCAGAATAAAGATGTGTTGATTTTTTTATTTGGAACTCTGAATATTAGTTTTGCTAATAAAAGGAAATACTTTTTACTTCATAAAGGAAAGATACATTTCCAGGCAAGAAATAAAAGTGAAAGCAATTTTTATTCGCTAAAACGTAGGGTGTTCATAGGTTATTAGCATGAACATATATTTCATAGGCGGTGAGATTCAATTTTCTATTGGAGGCAGATGATTCTCGTTTTCATTATCTTTGATATCTTCACAGATATTACTTGTGATGAAATGGTAATCCAATATTGAACCAAAGTAGAAGTTTCGTCGGACCTCAAAAATTGTGAATTTGTTTGTCACCTCTATCAATGGCTATGGAACAATTGTTTTACCAATCCATCCATGGTTGCGAACCATGTTTTGGCAGTTGTGGCCAAAGTATTTTATAGCTAGGGATCTAGCAAGGAACACTCTTGCTTCAGCGGTGCCATCGTTGATTGAATAGGTCATGTGGTACTTGAAAGAAAAAAAATTATATTGACTAAGTTGTGTTCATTAACTGATTAAGTTCTTATAAAAAGGAACATGAGTTATTTAAGTTGTGTACTCTAGTACAGGTCAGTATTAATTGCTCCATGCAATATATATGCTAAGGTGCATCCAAATTCCGTGAGATATTTATGGCATTCTGGACATCCTAAATATCACCAACCATGTGTTGCATCTATATTGGTGATGACGGTTCTTACCGCATAAGTGATGCACTGCAAGGAAGAATTTGAAGGAATAATATTTGAGTTGATAGCTAAATCATGTTACTTAATGTTCCATGGTGATATAAAGAATGAAAAAAAATCAAAAGCGTCTATATTCTGCTGTTTAAAGTGTAATGGTGATATAAAAGATGAAAAAAGATCAAAAGTATCTATAGACGTATATATATATATATGTTTTTTTGGTGGAGTTTTTAATTATTTGGCCAAGGTTTTAGTAGAAGCTATTGGCAGGAAAATAAGGGAATTATGATTGAGGGTTAAAAATTTTAACTTGAGTTAACTATTAAAATAAGAAAGACAGTTTGGTTAAAATAAGTGTTGAGAAAAAATCATTGAAAGGGGCATCAACCAACCACTGTGCCTAGTTTGAAACCCAATATTGTGGAGCCTCTCTTTTCTTCAACTCGCAAGGTCCAAGTCAATTTATCTAAGCCCGAAACCTATGTGGCTTTCACTCTTATTCATTGACGGCCCAGCTCAAACATATAGCAATCCAAATTTTGTTTTTTTTCCTTAGAGCTTTATATTGCTTATATCCCAAAAACCAAGTAAGCCTTATGTAGGTAAATCTGAAATGAAACCTATGTCTCCTTCTCCTCATACCCT